AGTTAAACCACGATAAGTAGCTGCAGAAGTATTGGGCAGAGGAGAGAAGAAGTTGTGAGGTGTATTTGGCACCCACCCTTTGAGGTTGACCCTGGCAGTTTCTTTCCTTTTTAAAAAAGATTTATTTATTTTTATTGAAAAGTCAGATATACAGAGAGGAGGAGAGACAGAAATATCTTCCATCCAATGATTCACTCCCAAGTGACTGCAACGGCCAGTGCTGTACTGATCCAAACCCAGGAATCCAGATCCTCTTCTGGGTCTCCCTGTGGGCACAGGGTACCAAGGCATTTGGGTCATCCTCGACTGCTTTCCTAGGCCACAAGCAGGGAGCTGGATGAGAAGTGGAGCTGCCGGGATTAGAACAGGCGCCCCTACGGGATCTCGGCACATTCAAGGTGAGGACTTTAGCCGCTAGACCACAAGCAGGGCCCAACCCTGGCAGTTTCTTAAATCCTCATACCCAGTGGCTCTCAAGGGAGAAGGGGACACATTTTTTAGCCCCCTGGACAGTCAGCAAGGTTTGGAGACTGGGATGTATGCTGACATCAAGGCTAGAGCCAGGAGGCTGCTAAATACCCTATAGTGAGGAGGCAGCCCCTTACATTCAAGACTCAGTCCAATCCAAAAGATCGCGTGCCAGGGTTGGGAAATGTCTCTCTTCACAGGTGCTTCTTAACATCTTCACATTTACCCTAATCTCTGGTAGACTAATGCTTTGTAAGAATATAATAAAAGGAGCTGGTGCTGTGACGCATTGGGTTAAGTCAATGCCTGCAGTGCCAGCATCATATACCACAACAATGGCTCAAGATTGGAATCCAAGACACTGTGCTTCTAGTCCATCCCTCTGCCCTTGTGAAAGCAGCCAAAGATGCTCCAAGTATCTGGGCCATTGGCACCCATGTGGAGACTCTGAAGGAGCTCTGGATTCCCAGAGCCAGGAATCTAGCTCAGGACTGACCTAGAACACGGTTTTCAAAAATGGGCAAAGTTAAGAGGGTGTGCAGGTGCTAGGAGAAGAATGGGACAGGCAGTCCGGTTTGGGAGCCCAGTTCAGGAACTCATGCTGCCTGGAGACCATCTTGGTGAGCCAAAGGGCCTGACCAGAGCTGGGTGTTATTAGTTCAGCAGTGGTGGGGGCAGTGCTCAGAGTGCTCAGAGTCAGAAATAGGGAGGCACATGCCACAACCTGCGTTTGAAGCTTGGAATGTCTAATTCAGAGAGATGGGCTGTGGGCAGGAATGATGGGTGAGCCAAGGCTCCCAGAAGCTAGCCTGGAGCATCAGTAGTCAGTGTGTGGGGAGTGATGCTGTGTACAGGGGTGCACTGATGTGACTGGAGTGCCATCTCAGTCAGTAGTGTCTGAGTAACACCTTTCATGTGACTTTCATGCAGGTTGTCTATTGGCTATGTGGAGGTAGGTGTGTCTTGATTTTTTTACATAAAAGATATTTAAATTTTTTTTTTCATTTTATTCATTTGAAAAGTAGAGATGAAGAGAGAGAGAGAGAGAGAAGGTGGGAGGGAAACTTTCAATCCACTGGATCACTCTCCATATGCCCTCAACATTCAGGGTTAAAACCAGACCAAAGCCATGTGCCAGGAGCTCCATCTGGGCCTCCCCTATGGGTAGCAGGGACCCCACTACATGAGCTTTCACCTGCTGCCTCCCAGGTTGCACACTGGCAGGGAATTTGGATGCGGCGTGCAGCTGGGACTGGAACCTAGGCACTCTGCTTTGAGGTTAGACATTCCAGTGGAGCCTTGACCTCTGTGCCCAGTGCCCAGCCTGTGTACTTGCCTTAGATGAGTATGCATTCTGGATCCCAGTGGAGTCAGTCAGCTCTCAGTTCTGTCCTCACCCCGAGGGAAAGTGTAAATGGGTTCTCTTCTTCTATAAATGAGAGTGTTGTCAGGAGGCTCAATGAGATAATGGCTGTGAATGTCAGGGGCAGCTTGGAGACAATTGACTGACTGTCCTCATGTCTCCTCAGTGCACCCCCTGCCCCAACACACACACACACACACACACACACACACACACACACACACACACAGTCCTGGGACAGGGGACTCAGGAATTGCCATCCCAGTCTTCTTGATGCTGGGACACCTATGTTAGCACAGCTCACCAGCAGCTCTATCACAATATCTCCTGATCCAGAGAGCAAGGAAAGCAGGGTCCTGTGCGAAGTCACCCAGGAGGGCAGGAAGATGGCAACGTGGCCCTGAGCCAGATACTAGGCTTGGATCCCACCTCTATCACTTACTGGCTGAGCATCCTTTGGCTGGTGGCTTGAACTTCCTGTGCACTAGTTTCCTAGCCACAATGTAGAGAAGGCAGTAGTAATACTCATTGATGATTAAATGAGTGTTCATCTCCTCAAAGTCATCAGCGTGGTGTTCAGCACAGGGGAAATTCTCGTGTTAACTGCTCTTTCTTTTTTTTTTCCTCCTAAGATTTATTCACTTGAAACAGAGTTACTGAGAAAGAACAAGATCTTCCCTCCACTGATTCACTTACCTGATGGCTACCACAGCTAGAACTGGGACAAGCCAGGAGCTTCTTCCGGGTCTCCCATGGGTACAGGGGCACAGGCACTTGGGTCTCTTCTTGCTTTTCCCAGGAGTGTTATCAGCGGGCTGGTTCAGAGGGACCTGTTGAGACATGAACCGGTGCCCACATGGGTTGCTGGTATCAAAGGCCGTGAGCTTTACCCACAGTACCACCTTACTGGCCTCTTTGCTCTTTGTTAGCAGCAGGGTCTGCTGCCCAGGAGAAGGTGTCTAACCACCAAGATGACTTCTGGACTCAGATGCACTATGCATGCCATGGTGCTGTTGGGAGGGTTAACTGCAGGAAGAAAGGCAGAACCCCTGGCACCGAGCAGGTGTCATTGCACAGGCAGGCTCACACCTCAGATGAGGCAAGTACTCTCAACTGCCCATGACTCGAGGGAGAAGGGGCCACCATGCTCATAAAAGATAGGAGTCTAGTTGGCTTGGCTGGCCTTTGCCCAATGCCTCTGCTGTGTCACCTGTGAAATGGTGACCTTACAGGTGCTGCCTCAGGGAACTGCTGAGGCCCAAGCTGACTGACACAAGGGGCTACAGACGCAGCTTAACACACAATGGCCCCTGGAGGGTTGGTCTTGGATGGTCACTGCTCTTGGTAGGCTTAGCTCCTGCTTGTCCTCTTGGCCTGAGGAAGAAGGAGCCAGGCTTTAGGGAACAAGTGTTTCCCAGAAACACTGGCCACACAAGGCTCCCAGGGCTCTGCCCAGCAGGTGGCCCAAGGCTGTGACAAGCTCCTGAAGCTGCTGCGTAAGATGGAGTTATTGACCAGTGATGGGCCAAGGCAGAGTTTTTACTAGGACAGAGAAAACTGCCCCTGTACCTGTCACACCGTGGGGATCAGGCCCAGCCTGAGGGCCCAGAAGCTAAAATGCCAGCTGCCTGGTACTAGTAGTTGCAGCTGTGTGATGTCAGTGTCTGAGCTGTAGCCATTTCTCCTCTGAAATGTGAGCACTGAACAATGCTTTCCCAGGATTGCCATGAGGTCCACATTACATGGTCACTAGAGAGGTTGTGGACGGCCCAAAGGTCTGGCTCACGGGGTCCTTGCTGGATGGCACTCTCTGGCCGGCTTTGCCTCCCCTGTAACTTTGCCTGCTACCAGCATGGGCCAGGGAGGGGGTGGGGCGTGCAGGGGCTGGGTTTCCTCCAGCAGGCACCCCCTGGGGCTGAGCATGACGGGGCATCAATATCTGCCTGTCAGCTCTCATCCTGCACGCGGCAGGGGTGGGTGTGTCTCAGACAGAAGGTATCATTCAGCCTTCAGGCTTTGGTATTTTTTAATCTGAGATCTCAATTAAGTTGCCTGGCTCAGGTTTGGAGAGAGCAGAGGTGGATGGGAAAGGATGTTCTCAAGTGACATGGAGCTGGAGAAACGAGTGGAGGGGCTTCCAGGAGAGCGGCTTAGTGGCACCTCCAGACCCAGGCAGGCGTTTCTGGGAGTGTGTCTGTGAGGGTGCTGAGACAGCTGGCAGGCATGATAAGGAACGTGGTGATAAGGGCTTGCGTCCAGGCTTCTATCCAAGCAGGATGCCCAGGATGAGCCCCAGAGTCGGGAGACAGTGCCCCACTTGACCCTTCCTAAGCCAAAAGATCCAGCCTATGTCCTCCTGGTGGGAAGACCCCTCCCCTGGGTGTCCTGCATCAGCCTGGCCCACTACCCCTGTGTCAACCCTTCCTGTGGGGTACAGAGTACACCCTAGCCTTCAGCTTGGCTGAGTGCAACCCCCTCCCCTGACTCCAGGTTCCTTCTGCTTGGAGCCAACCCCGAATCATGGGGGAGCCCATTTTGGAGTGGAGGTGGTGTTCACTGTTCAGGACAGGGTCCTTAGAGGGGGCTTCATGTCACAGGTGACCCTGATTCATCTTGGAGGACAGGGGTGGGCCTCATCCTCACCCCTGCTGCCCAGAGGCCCTGGGGAAGAGCTGCAGCCGCTGTGGGGAGGAGCAGGGGTCCCTGTATGTAATGTCTGCCTCATTACTTCTTTAATTTCTCTGCCTCTGTCCTTCCCTCCCCTCCCTGTGCGTTCTCTTTCAACTCCGCTTGAGTGTTCCCCTTTCGCCTCTCTACCTCCTCCTCTGCCTCCACCTCTCCCTTCCCGGCCCGGTCTCTCCTCCCTGTCCTTTCTTCACTCCTGCTGCCTTTGCATCCCCATGTCCCCCCAACCACTCCCCTTGACATTCTCTCTTACTTCCTCACACTCCTCCCTTCAATTGCCCACTTTGCTTGTCACCCAACCTGCCTGCCTGCTCCTTTTCCTGGGTGGGTGTGGTCTGCCTCTTTCCTTTCCCCTGTTTCCTGTGTGCTATCCACACCTGCCGTCCACTCCCCGCCCCTTCTTCCCTGTCACTCCATTTCGGCCCCGTCCCCTCCCCACCATCTCTTGTTATCTATGCTCCCTCAACCCCCCATCCCACCCCAGGATGATCCCAGCCTCCAACAAGGCCTTCGTGGTCAACAACCTGGTGTCGGGGACTGGCTACGACCTGTGTGTGCTGGCCATGTGGGACGACACGGCCACAACGCTCACAGCCACCAACATCGTGGGCTGCGCCCAGTTCTTCACCAAGGCGGACTACACACAGTGCCAGTCCATGCACAGCCAGATCCTGGGCGGTACCATGATTCTTGTAATCGGGGGCATCATTGTGGCCACACTGCTGGTCTTCATTGTCATCCTCATGGTGCGTTACAAGGTCTGCAGCCAGGAAGGACCTGGCAAGATGAACACAGCTGCTGTGAGCAACGTGTACGCACAGACCAACGGGGCCCAGCCGCCACCGCCACCGCCTCTGGGCGTTGCACCTGCTGGGCAGCCATCACAAGTGCCACCAAGGGTGGTGGTGCGGAATGAGCTTGTGGACTTCAGTGCCACCCTGGTTCGAGGCAGTGACTCGTCTTCCTCCAGCTCTCTGGCCAGTGGGGAGGCAGCGGGGCTGGGACGGGGTCCCTGGAGGCTCCCGCCCCCTGCCACCCGCCCCAAGCCCAATCTGGATCGGCTAATGGGGGCTTTTGCCTCCCTGGACCTCAAAAGTCAGAGAAAGGAGGAGCTGCTGGACTCCAGGACTCCAGCCGGGAGAGGGTCTGGGACACCGGCCAGGGGCTACCACTCGGACCGAGAGCCACTGCTGGGACCCCCAGCAGCCCGGGCCAGGAGCCTGCTCCCACTGCCCTTGGAGGGCAAGACCAAACGAAGCCACTCCTTTGACATGGGGGACTTTGCAGCTGCTGCAGTAGCTGCAGGAGGAGGTGCCCCCAGTGGGTACAGCCCCCCTCGGAGGGTCTCCAACATCTGGACCAAGCGCAGCCTCTCTGTCAATGGCATGTTGTTGCCCTTTGAGGAGAGTGACCTGCTGGGGGCCCGCGGCACATTTGGCAGCTCTGAGTGGGTGATGGAGAGTACCGTGTAGGGTGAGGGGGGCTCCCTCCCCCTTAGACCCCTGCAGGGTGGGAGAAGAAGCTGGGCAGAAATGTTCCTGGCAAGTCTTTGTGGGGTTTCTATGGTGATGTTTACATCCAGGGCCTTTTGTCCCCAACCACCACATTATCCTCCACCCTCACCTGTCTCCCTTTCCCAGGCCCGGCCCTGACCCAGCCGGGGTGCTCAGGGAATGTGGACTCACTCGCGTGCGGACTGAGCCCCGAGTGGCTGGAAAGGCGAGACTCTGCCTTTCTTCATCACAGATGTAGCGTGCCGGCAAGCGGCTTTGGATTGCTGTGGGTCCAAGTGTGGTTTTTATTTCTGAATTTACGTTTTCCATTTCCCAGACTCCTCTTCTTCATTTGCACAGACACCTGGGAGCATGCTATCCGCTTGAAGACATGTTCCTTGCAACCCTGGGGTGGGGCAGGTATTGCCATCTGACGTGAGAAGGGGAAAGGGCCCTGTTTCCACACTTGCATGAGGAACACTTTGAGGCCCCTGCCATCTTCCTGTGATGGCCTGGGAGGGTTGGGTGGCCCCGATTCCTGTGCTTTGCAAATACAACACCCCACACCCATCACAGTGGCTTAGACCAAACGTCAATGATGAGGAGAAGGGCATCCAGGGATCTCTGGGAATTTTTTTCTCTTACTCGGGAAACAGGTTCATAAGGCTCAGGGGGCTTTTCCTAAGGAGAGCTGTGTGGGGCTGCAGAGCTACTGAAGAGCCAGCTGGAGAACTGAGGAAGGCCCTTTCTGTCTTTGGACCTCTGTTTTCTAAGTGGCTAGAGATGCAGGGATTGCACAAGCACATCTCTGAGGGAGAATTCTAGAAGCATTGCAAGGAGAGTCTGCAGTTGTAGTTCCCAACCTCAGCGAGGAGTCTGCGGTCATCCTGCCTTTGCTGCTGTCTCCCCAGAGCACAAGGACTTGCTCATGATCCTGATGTGAGTCTATGATAGAGCCAGGGGAGGGTCCTGGCACCTGCCTCCCAGGGATGAGGTTTGGGACCCATGGCTTGGTCTGTTGTGGGCCCCAAGCATACCCCATGTTTGTTCCAGAAGGAAGCAGCTCCAAATGAGCCTTTGGGGAGGGTGGTGCCCTCTGAGAAGGGAGGGTTCAACCACTGAAATGACAGGTGGAGAACGGAGGCACACATGGGAGCTAACTCCAAGCTCACAGCCAGCCAGGGAGAATCGGCTTTGGATGAATCTCAGCCACTGTGTCCTGCACCTGTATTCCTCCTGGTCTCTGCTTGCAGGACCCCCTCCTTTCTAACACACTACCTCTCCGTCTGTGTCCCCAGTTCATCCTCTCCCTCCTCTATATTTTTTGTCTTTCTCTTTCTCTCTCTCTCTCTCTCCCACTTTCCAACCACACAGATACCAGCATCCTAGTGAAGCCATTTTTTCAGGAGGCTTAAAAGCCCTCAGATCAGACCTGGATGGCAGCTGTATCTCCCCTCCAGCACTGGGAGCCAGGTTTGGGGACTGCCAGGCCTTCCCCTGGCATCCTGCTCTGCCCTCTCCTCTTCACCCCTGTTTTCATCTCTCCTTTCCTCCTCTCTCCTGATCTCACCCTTTTTCTGTTACTCTCTGCCTTCCGCTCCTCCCAACATGACCCATCCAGCCCAGATGGTTGCTGGCCCTGGCAAGGTCATTAATAGACCAGGTCAGCCTCTCCTGAGACAAGTGGATTTCCCAGGCTGGTACTAGGGTTGGAGCATACCCCTTCCCCAGTCAGGGCCACACAGAAGGTCCCTCTTCTTACTTACCATCTTGTTGTCCTTCTCTTCATCTTTCCTGTCGCCCTTTCTGGATGCAGCTGTTGCTTTGGTCTTTGGACTCAGGCACACAGAAGAAGGTGCAGAAAGGGTAGGGAACACAGCTCGCCGTTCTCACCAGTGGTTCTGAGCTTGGTGGTCACATGATCTGATCATGTTTCTGACTCGGGAGCTTTGGAGAACAGCATCCCCATGATGAGCTGATCAATTCTGACCTCCTTCATTAAAGTGCAAGAAGAAAGGTCAAATACACAGTTTCAAAATCCACCAGCAACCCCTCTTTCTCAGGAGGGAGACCCATGAATGTCTGCTGTTTGTTTCTCTGGAACCTGGGGTTTTCCAAAATGACTTCAAAGCGACATATTCTGCTGCACCTGTGTCTAGGACTGCCTGGTGGGAGCCAGTGCTCCCTGCCAAGTTCACGTATGAGGTGGGAAAGTCTTCTGAAATGAGATTGTGAGGACGTCCTCTCATGGTGAAAAGAGGGACAGGGCATGGTAGGGAAACTCTAGTCTAAGAAGGCAGGGAGGCCAGCATCCCTCACTGACCTCTGTGCTCTGGCATACCAGATCACCTGCTTTGTGCTGGGTTGTTGCTGCCTTTGCACCTGATATGAGGGGTGCCTGGAGATCTTCCATCCATTTTGGTTTTGCCCTGGGTATCATTTTTTAAAGTGTCTTTTACTGGGCAACAAAGGGAATACATAGAAAACCAAGGCATGGGAATAAATGAACTTTTGATTCACAGGTTCCCAATCTTTCCTGATGACAACATCAGCACCTCCCAATAGAAGAAAACAAAATGTGATGGGAAGTATACCACCATTTTAAATGGTCAGGTAACTGCATTAAAGCAAACACAAAGAGACAGGCGAAATTAATTTTTAAAAATATTTTTCATTTATTTTTACCTGAAAATCAGATTTTTTTTTTACAGAGAGAGAAGGAGAGACAGAGGGAGATCTTCATCTGCTAGATCACTCAATGGCTGAATCTGAGCCTATCCAAAGTCAGGATCCAGGATCCAGGAGCTTCTTTCCAGTCTCCCACATGAGTGCAGCATCCCAAGGCTTTGGGCCATTCTCTGCTGATTTACCAGGTCATAAGCTGGAAGCTGAATGGGAAGTGGAGCAATAAAGCCTCAAACTAGCACCCTTATAGGTGGAGGATTAGCTTGTTATACCACTGCAGCTGCCCAGTATTGTGTCTGGATCTTCAGGTGCATACCTCACTGAATCTCACTCCAGACGTCCTAGGTACATGTTATTGTTCTGCCCCCTGGGTAAAAGAGTACTGCAGGTCAGAGGGTTAAGTAACTAGCCCCAGGTCATAACTGTAAAACCGATGCTCTTTTGACAACATCACAAGACCTCCCTTCTCCTTGCTGCCTTCCTTCAACTTATGATAGATTGTATTTTGCACTGCCTGACTTGATAAGACCTAAAATTTGGAAGCCCTTTATTTGACCTCAAGGTCAGGTAGAATCCTCAGCATGTTAACACCAGGTAAAGCCCATTGTAAGTGGCCTCCTTCTGACTATGCATGGTGACCCAACCCAGCTTTTTGCCTTGGCCTATTCGGCACTCTCCAAGGTCCTGAAAGAGGGTACCCCTCAACTCTGATCCTTGGCAGAGGAGTGATGGCTGATGCAACACAAGGGGTTTTCACAAAATTTATGGAAAAAAACTATGCACAAATTTAAAAGTGGGTTTTCAACCAAAGCAAACTTGCATTTCCATCTTCCATGAACTTTCAAAAGTGTCCTTGTAGAGCCCAGTTCACTATTAACTTTTCATCAAATGTCGACCTTCTTTGCCATAGTCTTGATAGTGACACATTTGTTGAATTCCCATCTAAGGAAATAGCTTCAATTCTTCCATCATTACAATGTTGAAAATCCAAAAGACTTTGGACACATTTTTAAGGGCTATATTTTCAGGCAAGCAAGAGGAAGGTCACTGTCTCATTTGCCTGTTCCAAAGCCGAAAGTGACTTTTCTTCCAAAGTCTGCTGGTATTGATTTTTCATAAGCACAGCCTGAGCACTTTCATGTGCTCTGATCTCCGTGTGTCTGCAGTGAAGGTCTGAGGGCCCCAGCAGTCTGGGTGGGGCTTCCTCTGTTCTGGTAGCCTTTGGGGTTTTTTTGCAAACTGTGGCGGGGAAAAAGAGGCACACTTGTTCAAAGAAAGAGACTGCCAGCAGGCAGCAGTCAAAACCTCACTGTGCACTTGTAAATATCACATCTCAATCCCCAAACCCTGCCATGATGTCTGACGCACTTGGCACGAGAGAAGTGGGTTGTGACAAGATGGCTTCTCGCAGGTAAATACTGGAAGGTTCTATTATGGTACAGTATAATCAGACCGATTCAGGTTGTTCTACCAACATCTACAGAAATCGCCCCACACTCACCTCCTGAGAACATTGCCCCCATTTTCAGTTTATAAATACCTATTCATGCTATCAGCCTTTAAATCAACAAATATGGTTTCTCAGTTTCTGCCATCTCAGTTAAGGTTCTCCACATCATAGCTCACAAGTCAACACTTACAAGGAAGGCTTTTAAGTTTCTCTTCTTCACAGCTTCTAATACAGGGAAAATCACATGCTTCCCCCACACCAGCAAGGAGCTGGTCTTTCCCAAGAAAGCCATTTAGGATCTTCTGACAGGTCATGATTATCTTGTTCACAAGGATCATTTTGGTAACATCTGGCATCTTTCTTCTGCCCAAACTTGTCTGGCCCACAACAAGCATCCCACTGACCGGCCGCTTCTGCCTGGGTCCCTCTGTCCAGGCTGCCCATCTGGCGAGCTGGTGATGAAGAGTCCAAGCTCTGCACTTCCTGTGTTACAAGTGTTCCTTAGTGTGCCCTAGCACACTGAGCACTGATATCAACATAATTTGCAAGGGTGGTTTTCTTTTGTTTGACTGCCCTACACCATGCCCAAGATGTCTTCTGTCCCTTAAGCCAGAGTTGTTATCTCTGTTGGCTGGCCTGCCCAACACTGCTTCCACTTTCTCATGAGGTAAAACCTCAGAATGCTATACCTATCCCCTACATCACAGATCCAGCTCATGCTGCTGCTAGTAAGCAGGTGTGATGCTCATCATTTGAAAAGAAAAGGTGATCAAGAAGAAGGAACTCTAGTCTCCAGTTATATCTGTCAATCCTGAAGTCTCTCCTGGGGTCCCTGTCAAGCTCT